TGTTGAGAAAGTCAAGTGAATAGTTGAATTATGTCAAATAATAACATTTATTACTATTACTTTTTATTTATTTTCGTTGTTGTAATTCCTTTTTACTCGAAATAAAGAAAAGACTACATTAGTAATGTCTTTTTTCATGCAGATGATTAACAGGAATACATATTGAAAAGAAGGAATGAAAGACAGAGGGAAAGAAAATAGCGCCAAATAATATTTTTTTTTGAAATTTTTTAAACTTTTCAAGCTCTCTGCTTTACTGTCGTTAAAAAGCTTTAATATTTATTATTACAAGCAGTATTTTATTGCGAACCGACATAAGTTAGAGAATCACTAAAAACGGAGAAATACTTGACAGTTGTTGTATCATATTTTGGGAGTATTCAGCGTATGCACTTGTGACTGTACCAGGGAGTGGACCATGTGGTTACGAGCTGAGCTCACAAATCATTCAGCCAATGAGACGGAATAAGTAATAGTAATTAAATCTATTTAAAGCACGAAAATAATCTAATATCATATTATACAGGTGAATGATTAACTTTTAACTACAAATCCCACTGATATAAGGAGAAGTATATCTTCTTCGAAGGTTTCATTGTCATTAGTTCGAAGTCTGAAGCAGGCATCATAGTAAAAATACTGCTAATTGATTTTTTGTTGCTGACTTGCATCTCAGCTACCGATATTTGAGAGTGGACATAAAGTGTTTTTCAGGTAAGGAGGGACAGTCAGTCAATAGTTTTATGGATCTTAATTAATGAAAGTGTTTTGCGGAGTCATCGCCTTCTTCAGGCAGCAACATAAGCTGAAGTAGGATTAGGTTGGGAAAGGGCTAAAATTTGTCCGACGAAATTATAATATCCAGCCATCGATTGTTTGTGTGAGCTAGGTTGAGTCCTCAGGGTTCTGAGAGGTAATAGTTCAGCAATTGTAATGACATGACTAAGAAGTTTTCATAATAGCAAAGATTTTTTATCTTCGGAATTTTCAACTTCAATTTTCTTAGCTGACCTGTTCTGTCTTCTATACATATTTGTTTTGCACTGGCGTGTTATTATATTTCAACTTTTATGTGTATTTATGTGTGTGTATGTGTGAAGTGGGGCAACTTTAAATGACCCATGACTAGTCTAAGAAATATAACTTCTTCAGCAATACAATTATTTCAATGCAACAAGTTAGCAACTACAATAAACGCTGACAAAACTAAATTATAAAAGTGTTACCAAAGGTGACACCACGATAAGATGATTCAAGGGAAAATAAAATCTCATCTTCTTGGAGAATTTCAAATAACAACCTTCAGAAAGTCGACCAAGCGACTTATCGACTAAACTATACTGTCCAAACACTGAAAGTATTATAATGCAGCTTTAACCGTCGATATTTCCACACCTTCTCACGCGACTAGCGAGTGGATATCACCTCTATCCTAATTGTACCGTATTAAACATATAAGGATGAAGAAACTCAGAGCAACTGGGTAACTGTTAGCTAAATTATCTGAAGTATCTTAGTTCTTTAGAAAAGTTTTTAATTACAGTGCCATTGTGAATGAAGCTGAAATAATTCTTCGACTCGGGATTTCAAAACAACTTCAATTTTTATGACATTACATCATGTCAGTCTGCACAAAGTAAGGCTGTCGAAGATAGTCTGATTTTTCAAGTTCTGGTTTATAGGGATTTGATTGGTTACAGGATTTTCACCATGAACTGACATTAGTTAGAGAACCATTGGAAAACCTGGGAGTACTGAACAGCTGTTTCGTCCTAGTTTGGGACTCTTCACAGTATGCACCCATCGGGACTCGAACCCAGAAGAGTCCCAAACTAGGACGAAACGGCTGTCCAGTACTCCCAGGTTTTCCAATGGTTCTCTAACTAATGTCAGCTCACGATAGTCTGATTGCCGAAACTCTATGTAATTATTTTGCTGATTTCACTATTTCAGACTACTTGCTGCACACAGATTTTAGTCTTTATAAAACAAATTTTCCGAAGGTTAGGTAGTTACCAAATTTATGAAGACAGGCAACTCCAATCACTGATAAGTGACTTCTTACGCTTGAAAGTAAACAGAAAGAATTAAATAATTACCTCATCTAGTGTAGTGGTTGCGTCACGTGTCTAGTCCTTAATGTTGGCGCCGAATCAATTCCATCAGTCACGTTTGCAATGTGGTCCTAAAGCTAGGTCAAGCACTTTATACGGACTATTTCTAAACATCTAACACCAGTTCGAACTGAACTGAGAGCCAGCTAGCTTGGTGACAACAGTGGAAATGGAATTATAGTATTCATTCACCATCAACACCAAGAACTACGCATAATCAATATATTCATTACAGCCTTACAGGAAGCAAATTGTAGGTCTGAGTAGCTTGATGGTAATATCTGCGAAATTAGCACTGCATGATGTTGATTCAAATGTGAGGAGGTCTTGCTAATGAATGTCTGTAACCATCTAGCTAGTGAAATTCATCATTCTACTTCTGTCAACACCATGAAATACACAAATGTTTATCACCTACTTGTTAACCAGTAACCGTTTCTTTCTAAACAACTATAACATTGCGCACAATGTCTATTAAACGTTACATGAAGCGTATAGATCATGCTGTTTTGATAGTAAGTTTTCAGTTCTCTTCAGATCTACTGCCACCACCATTATTATTATTACTACTACTACTACCCCCACTTACATTTCAGTAATATAATTATAATTTACCGTTAAAAGTTCTTATTACTCAAGGGATCATAATTTCTACGAAAACAATACAGAATAAAACAATTTAATTTCATTTATACTCTTATCATTATTGATATTAGTAGTATGATTACAGTTATTTATACGTTACAATGAGGCATGGAAAGAGTGAGAAAGAAAACGGAATTCATGCTGAAATATTTGAGAAAATAACCATTTTGTATGTCCATAATTGTGTGCCTGAATATAAGAAAGTATGCTTCAAGTAGGGCCAATCCCACTATCTCCCTCTCTCTTTCTCTTACTCTCCTCCGTTTATCTAACACTACTAATACTGCTGATAAGCAAATATTTCTTTTCACCTTTTTATCATGAAATACACAGTATACCAAAAATAAAAGTAACTATTTTTTTTAATCACCTAAATTCACCGAACCAATTAAATAATTGTGAGAAAGAGAAAAAGAAGAAGGAACATTGGAATAGGAAAAACAAATTTTTAAAATATTCCCCTTGGTCATAAGGGAGTAAAAAGTTTCCCACTGATCTAATTTCATATACCACCATCTTTTAATATTCGACTTCCACTCAGTAGATAAATAAATATTTGTAAGATGTATGCATATACTGTGCAATATTATTGATAATTTATGTTATCCTTCTCGAATATGTCACCTTAGTTTGCCTCCTTTTTCCGTTTTATCGTCTCATTCTTCTCTACAGAAAGTAATACAATGTGTTCCCTCCCTTGGGATGCAGTCCTTGAAACATGATATATAGATGGATATTAACAGAAAGCGAGGGAAAGCTTGAAGAAGAACAGTATGCAGGATTGTTTATCCCCATAGTCTTTACTGATGTGAATACAACACATGCATGTATACATGTATATTACCAACAGTAGTGTGTTTTCATTACTATAGTGTTGAAAAAATAAGCTTATATATATGTATATATAAACTGCTACATCGTTTACAAACGAGAAAGAGAGGAAGAGAGTTGAAGCGAACAGAGAGAGAGAGAGAGGTAGCAATACCTTCTTTTCCCGTTATTTTCTCTTCGAAAAATTCAAAAAAGAGAACTTAACAAATAAGTAAATGATGAAAAACCTTCCAGAGTTACTTTAGTTCTCCTTTTTTTCTTCTCTAAACTGATACCTTTTCGTGAGAATTTCAGAAAATAAGTCTGTTTGTTTGTTTGTTTTTCTGGTATATAGTTACATTAAATGCATAATTTTAACCTAAGAATACAAAAAATAACTACTTTTCCAAAAAACAATTCTGTAACTTTTGATACTTTATTCTTAGCTAGACTGGTGTTGACAATCTTCCCATTATTATTAAAGTGTTCAACTGAATGAACCACAAAAAAAACTACTCACTGATTCACCATGGAATAATATTAGTGGAACAGTCTCAGTCACAGATTCTCACCACCATTCATTATCACTGGGATTTGTGATCGCTGAGGATGAAGTAAATATCTCAGCCAACATTACAGCTTACAAAAAGCTCTCGTATGAATGTGTGATGAACCACTAATAAATAAACACCTGTTTAAAACACCATTCCACGAGCTGTTCATCTAGGTCGCCTAATCACACTGAGTTGGAAGGATTCTATTATGTTGCTAACTGAAAGTGACCATCGGACTTATATTCATGCAGTGTGTAGTGATAGGAGGTGAAGAGCGGATTCGTTCTGTTACATGATTTGAACCAGCAGCCTATGGATCACTAGTCCGACACTATACTACTAATGTCTGCCAATCCAAGCCTATTACAGATAGTATGACAATCAGTTTATGGCATGTCTCTCTCCTTCTAGTATAACTCGATTAGAATTGACAGGGGAAGACGTGGTTGAGAAGCTACTGTGATGACTGTTGTCGCGTAACAGACGATCATTACTCCAGGTAACTATCATGAAAAGATGACCTAGTTAGTCTCTGCATCTCAGGGTTCTGCTGCTAGAGTACCAAGCCAGCAAACTGGATGCTTTTGGTTCAAGATTTTTATTATTTTGATATCAGAGAATAGTAAAGATCTGGGCCACTGTACACTGCTATCAGCTTAACTATATATACAACCGTAACTAGAGTTGCCACCATTACCACAATATTTTTTGCTGGAACTTTAGAAATAACAGGAATAAGCAGATACTACTGAGGAGACGTAAAAGTAGTTAACTAGAACCACCTAATGTTATTTACTCATCTTTTTAATTATTATTCAAGTGTATGATTATATAATAACAATAATATTGTTTTTTTAATATGATTACACAATAACAGGTTTAAATCAAAATGATCAAGTATCAAATGAACATCATCAGATATCAAGATATGTTGATATGACTGCAAATAATAGTACTAATTCAACAATGGACAGTTTAAATTCACCTCAAACAGAATTAATTGTTTCAAATGATAAGTTAAAACAAAATTTTTCACAAATTCAATCATTGTCTAATTCATTCAATAGTATATTGAGTGATAAAGAAAACTTAAATTATTTTGACCAAAGTAGTAACCATGATAATAGTCATAATAAAAGTCTTAGTATAAATTCAATGGAAAACTCAGGTGAAAATAATCATTTCTCTCATTCTTCTGTAAATCCACCGTCATCATTATCGTCGCCATCATCGTCGTCATCGTCTTCACCTTCTCTTCATAATCTTCATCAGCATCATCATCAGCGTCAACAACAACAAACAAATGACGACAATTTCGATGGTACCGATAAAGATGAGCATGGAATTCGTCGAAAACGACGTAAACAAACACTACCACAACAGAATTTCCAGTTTACTCCACTTATTATTAATACTGATGGAATACAACTGATAAAATCATCAGAAAAGGATGAAACGACAGATATTACTGACTGTGATGTTATTGATATTACTGATACGGGTTGTCCGCAGAAAGTGAGAAAATTATCAGGTTCCTTCGTGGATGACAGTAATAATAATGATAATAGTGAAAATAAAGAACAAATAATAGAAGGAGATGACGAAAATGATAAACTAGACATAATGATGAAAAGATACGATGAGAATGAATCAAAGGCGAATAAAATAATCAATCAAAGCTTATCACCCAATTTACTCATGTCTTCTGAGTGTAATAAATTGATTAATGAACTGAGTCACTGTGCCGTCGAAGTGTTCCGTCGTAGTCTGAACAGTAAATCTACAAAGGTACAAATAAATCTCACTGATGAAGGTGACAACAGAGATACGAATTGTGATACTACTAAGAGTAATATTATTGAAGAAAAAATGATTGAACAGACACTATTGAAACTTGAACCACACATCTCTGAACTAGTCGGCCAGTCGTTAAGATCAAGTATTGAAACATTGAAAAATGAAATGTTTGCCAGTTTAAAATGCATTAATATGAATTCAAATGAAGACAAGCATTTGATTGAAAAATTAACAGTGGATAAAAATCATGGAAAACCTAAAGATTCAAATGAGGCAGGAATTAGAAATACTGCAACTACCATTGAACATTCAGTTGATAAATTTACAAATGATGCAATAAAAACATCATCGCCAATTATTCAAAATCAAATTAACCTTACAATTAATCAAAGTTCTAGTGAAGAAGACTTGAAACAAAGTCTAACATTTGAAAACTTACAAATGGAACAATTTGATCCTTCATCATTGTATCAGCATGATGAAAATAACAAAGAAGTATTTCAAAATTCCACAGAAAATGATTGTGCTACTATTATAAGTAGCACAGCAGACAGTCCATCGATATCCACCTTGACAACTGAGAAAACATTTTCACCAAAGGGTTTACTAGGTTTTCCTGTTGATTCTTTGACAGAGAATTCAGTAATAAACAATTCAAATACTGACGCTAATATCATCAGTAATACTCAAAATGGTTATATAAGCAGTAATGTGATGACTGATTTTAATGAACAGATTAAAAAGTATATAAATGAAATAAAGCAAAAATTTCCACAGTTCTCTACAATTTTTCCATGTGAAAATGAAGATAGTACAATATTTCCTAAGACTGTATGTAATGATCTATCAGTTGGTAATGTAAGTACTTTACATTTGTCAATATTTTTGTGGTCTATTCATAGTAGAGAAGGTATATTCCAATTAATCTTAGGTATATCATTTAGTTAATGATGGAGTACACGTGCTTTGTTCCATTTTGTATTCATCATCTGGATGTGACAACATCCACTCCACCTCCTGAGACTGGAACGTGTACTGCTGTTAATCACCATCAACCGTATAAAATCATGTTAAACATCAGACATTGTTGAAGCGTTTCTGCTAGGAGCTGACATACCATCAGAGATTGAGTATTGAGTCAAGGGAATATTCAAAAATCAATATCATCAAAAAATACTAGATGTATTTGACTTTTGAATAAGTTTTATCATTGATCCTTTTTAAAAATAGGATACAGTTGAAATTAACTCATCATTCCACTTTCAATGTCCGCATGAATGTAAGCAGACATTTTTGTTTTTGTGGAGAAATATCATGGATCGTTGGTGGATGGGTGGGGTGAGGGTGAATTTTGGAGACCTAAATGCCATTATATAGTATTTTCCACCATTTTAAAGTTCTTTTCAATGGAAATAAAGCACATGGAGTAAAGCTAATTATCAGTTTAATGGTTAAGTTTGTCTTACGAAGATTTGCCTTGAGACCATAGCCATTCATATTGAAACTTAAATAGTGTCAGCCTGGCAGTTATAAACTTTACACAACATTGACATTTGCAGAGACTGTCTGGCAGTAGTGTTATAAATTGTTTAACCGATGAAGCTACAACTCGTGAGTTGTTCGATTTTAAACCATTGGGTGATTAGTAACATGTTTACATCATTAGGTGAAGATGGTGAATTCGGTCCCAGGTAGGGTGATGGGTAAGCACCTCTTAGAAGTAGTGAATTAGGAGGAAACGGCCACTTATCACTCCCAGGTACTCACTGTTTCTTTCACTGGTGTCATTTTGCCAGGAAATATATCTTTAAATTTACAGACTTAATCTTCAAGTTACTGAATTCATCGGCACTAATGACACAGACTTGAAGTTCCATATGACTACATCTGGTCCGTCAAGATAACATGGCCTCCTTGATACCTGGTTTTCTACATCAATGTCTTGTTGACTGAATTCATGAAGATATTTCAGAATGAATTAGTAGATTTTTACGATTCCTGACGACTTGACAGTTATACAGATTATCATCAACAGATCAGTCTAATCAAAACTAATTTTAAAACATGATTTGAAAAAGCAAATACTTATTTTCGGTAAATCCTTATCAGGCTTTACAATTACATAATAAAATATGAGTCGCAGACACTTGAAATATTGTAGATCAATAGGATCAAATATAATCACGGAGGATGTTAGTAGAATAATGATAATAATAAATTGTAAAACTAAGATTAAAATATACAACTATAGCAAAGTATGGTACTGATAATGAAGTTAGCAGCACAAATGAAAATAAAATAATATTTACAGGGAGGCAGACTGAACAAACTTTTTCTGAACACACAGATAGGGCTGGAATTTTCTTATGGCGACTGCCTCAGCTACTCTTAGCCATCGAAGGAGTACAAACTTAGAAAATCGAGGTGGCACCCTGTATAGAATTTTAAAGGCTGAATTTTTATCAGTCTTGTGATACGTATCTACAAGGTGTGTCAACATGAAATTTCTGACTGACTTTATGACTCCTTTACCTAACCACGTTGGACAGTGTTCAAGAAAACGATGGTGGACTTTCTGAGTCATTCCACCTACGTAACGGTCTCCACATTATTTATTATTATTATTGTTCTCTTGGGTTCCTAGTGGAACACAGGGCTTCAACTACACGTCTCAACTTGCTTCTGTCTTCTGCTGTACTTTTCACTTGCATCCATGTTAGTCCATACTGTTTCAATTCTTCTTCACACGATCTCCTCAACGTCACCCTTGGACGTCCCACTCGCCTCTACCCTTTCGGGTTCCACTCGAGTGATGGCCTGACGTGCGATGTCACCCAGCGGCCTCCTCAGCGAGTGTCCAATCCATCTCCACTTTCTCCTGTATATTTGTTGAACGATTGGTTCTTGTTTTGTTTGTTCCCATAGTTTCTTGTTGGTGATTCTTTCCGGCCATTTGATCTTGAGTATAGAATGAAGACCGTCTCCACAAAAACAGTTAAATTTATATATGTACATTGACGTGGCCAGACTCTGTAGCTTATCCTTTATCTGCGTTGGAATTATGCAGCAAGTAGGAGTTTTAAACTTAGTGTTACGGCAAAAATATTTTAGCTATTATTCTTCGGAGTTTCGATGCCAGTAGCTAGTTTGTTTTTAATTACAACCGCAATTATAAGTTATTTATCGCAAAATGAACCTTTCTGTTAAGTCATCAGGAGTATATCAGATTATCTCACTAAATTAACATTGATCACTGGTGGTTATCCGTTGGTGGGCCAGTAAATTTTTATTTTTTATTGCATTGTATATACATTCCATTGTTTTCAAAATGTATGTTTGTTCATTTACTTTAGATCAACCAACTTTCCTCGTCAACACAATTTACTACTACTACTACTACTAATGATAATAATAATAATAGTAATGATATATCGTCTGATCAACCAAATGATATCACTTCAGTTGAAAAGACTGCACCATTTACACTGAACGCTACTATGACTTCTTCCTCAACTCTCTGTAGTTCACCACTGCCACCAACTCCCACAACAGCAGCAACACCGGCTGCAGCTGCAGCAGCTTTAGCTAATGTTTTAGGATTTCCTAATCCATTCGGCTGGCCATCAAAACTATTAACTAGTGATACACAAGATAACTTTGGACTAACTAACAGTCTTTCTAATCTATGGCCATGGAAATTGTTAAATTCACCTTATGCCTTAAAATGCCCTGATCAGAACACGCTTATTCAACCTAATCCACTAATTAATAATGCTATAAATTTATTCAGTCAGTTGAACAAAGTTAATGCGGATCCAACACTGACAAATTGTTTAAATTCAAAGTTTTCATCAAATCAAGAGGGTAAATGTGGAAACAATGAAAATTCTTCACTCCCATTGACAACACCGATAGTAACAACCTTAGATGAACAGTTAGAAGCTATGCCTTTAGTAGTAAGACATGAAAGAAAAGCAAATAAGACCAATTCATCTACAATAAATAACAACACTACTTATAATAGTAGTAATGCTAATAGTTTTGACAAACTTTTAAGCAGTATAACCACAGGGAATACAACTTCCAATACAACAGTCACACCGACAACGGGAATAACATCAATGAATGAAACTGGTATATTCCATGGATCAACGATAGGTCGTCGAAGACGTACTAAAGTAACTGACACACGTTTGACGCATTCACGTGTTTCACGATATTCAAGTAATGCAGTTTCCAATTGTTTATTAGGTAATTCTTCTGGTATACATCAAGCTGTATACCAACAACAACAACAGCATTCATCATTTCCGCAGACAACAACCGGAGTTATTGATTTAGGCACAGCAATGAATTTGATCACACCGACTACCAATGGCGTTCCTATGTGTCCCTCTGGTGGAAAGGCATTGCAATTGGATGATAAAGAGTCTTCATTATTGAATAATAATTTACTAACTGGTTTGAATTTATCGAAATACCGTCACTTTATCAACACTAGTATTAATAACAACAGTAATAATATGAAATTGGATGATTTCACTTCTGTGAAATATCGTTCAGAGAATCAGATTCATAGTAGCGGTAGCAATAACAGTAGTCCCTCACCAATATCATTACGCCTATCAGGTAATGCAAAGGAACTGGTTGATACAGATGGAAATCGTTTGAATCAAGAAGCAGAAAAGCTTGATGGACAGCTTCCAGGAGAGTCTGAAAAAAGTACAGAGTATAATAATGATAATAATAACAATATTAATAATAATGACAGATTAAATGACAAGCATTCACCGCACGATTATGAATCATTTGAAAGGATATTTACGAAAACATTTAAGAATTATCCACTATCAATGAAATCGAATCTAACAAACAATTCTGGTGCTGTGAGTGGAGGGATTTCATCTCCACTGTCATCTACTTCCTCTCCTATTCATTTCAACAATACAAATATATTACTGACAGAAACGAATGTTAACCCACCAATCTCTTCTATCAGTACCAGTATTATGTCACCTTCTTCGTCAGTATCTATGTCCGATATTAATCAGCGGAGGATTTTGTCAAAATTCAATCCAATTTGTCTTTTGAATTCTCGTCTATCCAACCCACTACCGCCTATTCCACCGATATTCTTTGATTCTGCAGACGATATTCTGAATAAAAGCATGAGTAATAATGCCACTCAAAGACCCTCCATGAACATTACAAATGACAACGTTCACAGTTATCTCGGTGTGCAGAATGAGGGACCAGAGAATCAAAATCCTCAGCAACAGTCGTTTTCACAGCGAACCAGTCTATCAAACTGTCCAAATTCTTCCCATTCTCTTGCATCTTTTATTCATAACTCGACAAGTTCATATTCCTTGCCGCTGAAATCACCATTATTTCCCATATCTCAGTCACTTTCATTGGGTCCATTGGATACAAGTAGTAACTTCACTAACACTACTACTGCTACTATTCCTGGTAATACTTATGAAAGTAGTATTAACAGTAATACTAGTTGTATTACAGCAATATCAAATTTACAAAACAGTCACCACCGTCGTCAACAGCAACAATCACAATCGACACCTTCAAATTCAAATCCACATGCTCAACATAACCATCATCATATGAATTATATCAACAAATTATACGATAAATTGAATTCAGGTGACAATTTGTTCAATATGAAGATAAATAAAACGATGTTGTTGAGTGATAGTTTTAATAATGAATCAAATGGAATGACTTTGTCTGAATCTTATCAAAATCAGTTAATTAACTGTTCCCATGAACTGCGTATGGTAAGTTTCGAAAAATGAATTTCTGCCTTATTTGTTTATTTTTTATTTTAAAAAATTAGCTTAGTAGTTAGTAAACAGCTGAAAGGCAAAATTAGAAATGGTGGTGACTAAAACCAGTCATTCATGGGATAGGAAACTGTCTCATGCTACCCAAACTCGAAGACCTACAGGAGAAGTCAAACAAGTTTTCAGAAGAGGCAGATAAGACAGGACTGTGGGTGAAATAGAGAACACAGAGACAATGAAGGTACCCAACAACAAATACTAATCACCATCCACGGTGGGAGCCTAAAGGAAGTCGTCTCTTCCACTTACATCGGACGATAATGTCAAAGCCAGCCAGGATCCGAGTGGGAAGACTGGATATGTCCTTATTCCTCTGAAATCAGTGTGTAGATCTTTGTCACTTAGCATAACATTATTATTATTGTTTTCCTTAATTCCTAGAGGAACATAGGGCTTCAGCCGTGCGTCTCTACTGCGTTCGGTTCTCTGCTAGAGTCGTCACCTGGCTCCATGTCTGCCCACACGTTTTCATCTCCTCTTCACATGACCTCCTCCAAGTCACCCTTGCACTGACAAACAACTCGCCGCTTCCCTTTCGGGTTCCTCTCGAGCAATGGCTTGTCTAGTGATGTCACTTGATGGTTTCCTCAGAGTATGGCCAATCCATCTCCATTTCTTCCTGCCTATTTGTTTCAAAATTGGTTCCTGGTTGGTTAGACCCAGAGATCTCTATTGCTGATCTTTTCTGACCGGCCACCTGATCTTGAGTATTGAGCGAAGACAACTGTTAATGAAGGTCTGTAGTTTGTTTGAGATGCTCTTTATGACGCGCAGTGCAAGTCTCTGATCCGTATAGTAGCACTGACTTCACATTGGAGTTGAAAATCCGGATCTTACTTTTGATGCTGAGTGTTGTTGACCTCCACACAGACTTGAGAGTAGTGAAAGCTTGTCTTGCTTTTCCGATTCTTGCTTTGATATCCTCGTCAGTTCCGCCTGCAGTTTAAACGATACTTCCCAGGTTGGCAGGTGAAGGAGGTTGTTTCTTTCAGGTTCCTTCCATATATGCTGACTGTTGTCTGTTGTTGTTGTTGCTGTTGGTGGTGTTGCCCAGGAATCTTCATCACCTCTGTTTTCTCTATGTTCATCTGAAGGAAGTCCTATCTCCTCTGGATGCTTCTTGTGCCAACTTGTTGCTTTTCACTTGCATATCTTCCAGTTTGTGGGAAATCAGACATATATCATCGGCGAAGTCCAGAAAGGAATTTTCAACACCGATATCAAGTCATTGCTTCTATGATGATTTAGAGATTTGATGTGCACGTCACAGGGAGCATTTCTTCATCAATAGCTGTCATCGCTGGCTCGAAAATGAAAATCAGATGACCGGCTGACTGTAAAGGATAAGTAAGGAGGAAATCAGGCAAAGAATCAGACAAAAAGATATTGTCCAACAGCGATGTAGAAGGAAGTCGAGATGGATTGGATAAATGCTAGGGAGGCCGTTGAGTGACGTCACATTTCAGGCATGTCACTGATTGAAACCTACATGGAAAAAGACAGAATCCGCCTCCGAGCAGGATATAGAAAAGATTATGCGAAAATGAAGGAAAAGCCGTGGAGCTAGGTGAAAGTAATAACAAGGAACCGAATACAAAGGAGATGTGAGGCTGTGTTCCTGTGTTCCATTCTGAAGGTAGGGGAAGAATAATTTACAAAGGTTTGATTGATTCCAAGGGAGGCTAAATTGGAAACCAACAGCCAACCGATATAAATCCAATAAAGTAAAATCAGTTAGAGAACCACTGCAAACCAAGGAGTACAGGATAACTGTTTTATCCTAGTTTGGGAATCATTGGCAGTACACTAGGACTAGTATGATTCAAAATTAGGACATAACCCTGTGATCGAACAGCAGGCTCATATATATATATATATATTAACGAAGTAACGTATGAGAAATCTTTTAAAAGAAAAATAGAAATGAATAACTGAGAAAGCTAAAAAACAGTGGAAAGTGCAGATATGCTAGAAGTTCAGTTGCTCCAATGACTGTATATCATTCTAACATAAGCTTTTCTCAATGTGACCAAACTAACTGGTGTCCATCTTCCCATCATTCTGAGAAACTTACTTTGACAGGTGCATGTAAATTTGTAGATTTAATTGAAGATGACTCTAATTTGAAATTTGTTCATCTTCATTTATGACATGTGAGAAATCTTCTGAAAAAATTATCTTTTTTTCAAGTAACCTCACAAAAATTGAAGGTCTGGTAAAGTCAAATGAAGTTGCTTTCAATCCACCCTATCGGTTAATCATACTATTTTTTCAAAACTGTTAAGGTAGGCATAGTTAAGTATCTAACAAACCGAGCTATAGCACTAAGTAGCACAAGAAAAGATGAAATAAAACAGATAGAAGAAGCGTTGGTGTTGAATAACTATCCTATAAAATTCATTAGGAAGATCAGTAAAGGCCAAAAACAAAATAAAAATAATTGTGGAACTAGTAATGATAACATAAATAAGAAAGCATAATCATACTGTTCATTTACTCACAATTGAAGTGTGAAAATAGAACAGGCTTTTTTGTGAAGTACATTTCCTCTATAGGATTTTCAAATTGTTTCCAACAAATTACACAAGTATTTTTTTAATTATCCGTTACTGTTCTAAATTTGGTCGATAGAGGCCTAAATTGCTTAATGTACTGAGATCTTCGACTGTAGTACTGAATAAGGAAAACTCAAGTAGCCGAGGAGATATCGGATGCTTCGAGGTAGCAGATATGCTCTCCTTAAGAGTGCTAATAAGCACGTAATCAAAGTTGAGAGCCTCATGTCGATTATCCCCAATCTCCTCTGATTAATCAGATTAAATGATTTTATAAAACTATTTACTTTGAGTATGACTCTTTCTGTCTGTCTGCCTGTCTGTTTGTGTCACATTCTCTTAATCTCATAGTTCAACCTAACAACAGATTCGATAAACAGAAAAGTTTCTGGAAGTATTCAAAAAAATACACACATGCTTGCACACATAAGAGATAAGAATGGTGGAATACACAAAGAGTTCAATCATCTAGAAGTAATTTCAATTTCAACTCCACTCCATTCCCCACACATCTTTCCTTTCCTCTACTTCTATATATATACGTATTTCCTTTCTTTTTCATCTTCCCTCCTAATCTGGCATAAATTTCCGGGAGTTAGTGTGTTCCTCTTTCTTTTTAAATAAAAAAAAGGAAACAACAATAATTGTCTTGTATTATTTTTATTTATTCTCAGAGTGCATCGAATAGTTAGCAGCTGGTTGAGTATGAGGAAATCTTATAATCACTGCCATTGTAGTCATCATCATTCATAACTTCTACCTCCTCCTCCTCTTCAGTGCTGTTGTCCTTGTTCTTGCTGTTACATTTCTTGTCATCTCAAAATATTATTATTATTAATAGTTAGTAATAATAAGATTCGTTCGCAAAGGAAAAAAATCCTCGCCTCCTTTTCTTACCCACCCCTCATTTCTTACCCTCTTCTTTTGTGAAAAAAGAAAGAAAAGAAGAGTTATTTAGAATTTATTCACACAATATTTTATTTACACTAAAAACAGAAGAGGAAAAGAAGGAGAAAATCTGCAGAATCACTTGACGTTTTATTCTTATCACCACCACCACCACCACTGCCATCTTCTTTTTCCATTTCTTCTGTTTTTTGTATTCCTTCAACATCATCATCATCATAATCATCGTCATCGTCATCATAATCAACATAATTCTCCAACCACTACCAGTATCTTTGTAGATAAAAGAGCTTTACACTCATACCTGCCTGCATGCTCACATACATATACACACACGCACACCAACGCATATACATGCAGACTTACAGTATTTCTTGCCTACCTGCTGTTTATAATAAGCGCCTTATGTTTGTTTGATGAGGATAGTTAATATTCAGACGAATGGGGAGTCCTATACAAGGGGAATGTGAATAAGACAAAAAACGCAATAATAATAGTAGTAATAGTAGTAATAATAGTAAGAAAGAGGTGAAAAGTCAGTTTTTTCCTACTCAGCGTTTCCGTTTCTTTTCTTGCTTTCTTTTAGCATCCCTACTGTTCGAACACACGCACTTGCATACACAGAGACAAGTGTATATACATGCAGACACACACACAAATCTACATATATAAAGTGAAAATGTCTTCTTTCAGTGCTAGCTGATTTTCCTGTCGAAGAGATTTCTTCATTTTTCCCCTTGTCTAAGATGTACTTCCTTCTTCGGTCAATGTAAATAAGGCAGCGCCAATTTTTTTTGCTTGTTTTTGCCCATTTCTTTTTCTGTTAAATAATTTTTTTTCTAAATTTCTGTGTTAAAAAGAAAGAAGAAAGCCGAATTATCTTACAGTTAGTCAGTTAGTTAGTTTTTGGCATAATTTCTCATAGAAATCGTAGTTTAATTTGTTTGTTTGTTTTTTCTCTTGAGAAAAATCGTCTTTCATGTCTGTAAGTTTCGCTGAGCGGACTTCTTTGAATGTTATGATCTGTGTGCGTGTGTGTGTGTGCTTGCATTTCTGTGTACGTTATACATTATACAATATTCAAGATTCAACTGATTTTCAGAAGTGAAGAATACGCTATTCGCATAAACTCATACACATAGTATTTCACACATACTGTATATCACTATAAAGAATTTTGAAAGTTATGATCAATAGATAATACTCAAGTAATAACCTCTTACTATTATTTCTACTGCTTCAACAATACTACCTACTACGACTACTACTTTTATACGCACTGCTGATAAAGGGCATGTAAGCTATCTACAACGAAACCTCGAAGTTGCATGCCATAAGAACAGACGGTCACTGCACAAAAATAGCAGTGAGAGAAGCGGGAGAAGATTAGGAAGTAGATTTAATGAAAAGAAAGGAAAGGAAGTGGAAGTAGCTGTAGGAAAGTGTCCGTAAAACGGGACTTCAACAGTCCTTATGGAAAAGTAAAGGTATTTACTCTAAGGTGATAATAATTTTTGACTGTACAATCTAGTAATCATTCTTTCCTATTTTTGTTATTTATACTAATTGTATGCAGTGAAGTTTTTTGTTGCAGTTCACTTATCTTTTTATTTCGCTGAGCAGTCTTCTTCGTGTAATGTCTATCAGTCCTTTTCTTGTTGGACTATAGCTCTTGTGACCTTTTGTTTTGCCAGAAAGACATTTTTTACTTGACATACTACTATGAGTAATATTATTACCACCAAAATATCTAAATAACATTTTACGAAGTGATTTTTAATCATAATTGGTATTATGTATAATAAAGTACGAAATCACTGGAAATTTTGAAAGTATCAGTCAAGGTTGTAACAAAATATAAGCGTAAATTTACTCTGTTATATTGGCAGTTTTGGATTATTTGCAGTGGTGACCACTATTAGTATTACACGATGTTTCGGATGAACATTTTGAATGTAACTCGGTAAACTCTACAACTTGAATACCTTGTGAATACTTAAAACCCTAACAAATTCCAGTATTAATCACTTACATTGGTTATATCAACAGAAATCACTTGAGAGAATAACACACATTTATGCAACACCTCTGATTACCAACCTTCTAGGGACTCTGACATTCTTCGTATTTCTTTTGATTAAGATTATTTTTTCACATTTTCCCAGTTAAATTGATTTCCATCGTTGTTCATATCCATGATTAGCTCTGAAACAATGATGTAACCCATATTTCAGTATCTCTGGCTAAAATCTTAAATTTTACTAACAGCATAATAAAGAGAAGTTTATTTTATTACAGGGTTAACATTCAAACAAGTCAACTCTTCAAAATTATGACAATGCATATTAATATATGTGTAAAACTTGGGCACTGTGGTAGTGTCTAATTCCATATTAATTTGTTTATTAGATAAATCGCACAGTGAAACAAACCCATAAACTCAATTAGGAACAAGCTTTGTCGGTTAAAGGATCCTGTGGAGTCAATTAAACAAAACAATTTTAGTTTGTCTAATACCGTGCAATGATTATTAGGTCAAATACATAGAGCAAATTAGTAGAATGGAGTGAGTCAGACTAGCAGAGCACAAAAACCTAGCAAAATCTAGATTAATTGACCTGAATAACATAAGAAATCTGGAGAATAGTTCAGCTATAGTATCACATGCAATTACACACAAACATACAACAGGATGCGATAAGACGACAGTTTCAAAATCTAATGTAACAGGGTGGAAGGGGAGATTGATAACAGAAGCTTTATTTGTCGAATCAACTGCAAACACGTGTAACAGGAATGATTCAACACCTGTCCAGTTCGACATCTGGAAAATTCTACCACCCCTACAACAAATAGGAAACAATAAGAAAACTATAAAACCCAAGTTTCGAAGTCGTATCAGAACAAGATTTTGAGCGAACAATTGTTTTCGATAACTTCTTCCTAAGGCTCTACAGTTATAAATCCATGAATAATAGAGTACATATAGCCAATAAAGGCAAATGAAAATAATATCAGAAACTGTATTGGGGTGCATGTGTAAGTTGAGATGATAGTCCATTAGTTAACATAATCAATCAAATGTGTATAGGGTGTATAGTCAGAAAAATGTGATGAAGTGTGAATGAACAATTGGGTGATACAGTGCTGTTTTATAGTCAACAGAATACAAGTGTCATTGGGGTGAGAGAAATACGATAGACATAAAATACACACAAACACACATTAACAAAGGGGACACTGAATGTGAGGGCTGACCGATAATGTCTAATGATAAAATAAAGAGGCTAAATAGTAAATTGTAATAAGATGTTACAGAGTCGGTAGGCTTAGTGTAAAATCACAAAGGTTGACAAAATTAAGGGTAACAATGAGGTGAAATAAACTGTGTGGAGAAATGGATAATAAAGACATGATATCACAGAATGATATTAATGGTAATAATAATACGGAAAATTATGATCCTGGTGACCTTATAGTGGGCCAGGGTAGACAGAGGGAGTATGATTATAACTGATGGGATTATGAACAACGAATTGTGCTCGAAACGTCATCTAGTAATTATGACATGCATAAATTTTGTCACAAACCGACATTAGTCAGGCAATTTTTAAAAACTCATTTTGGACTCATTTACCAGTTGACTTTCTTGATTTAGTTAATGGTTGAACCCATAAATCTACAACTTTGTTATCAACGATTCTTTAAATAACATCAGTTAGTGATGAAATCTCTCCTGAGATACATTAAATCCCTACAAATCTTAAAAGTTTAAATAGGACAGTTATTTTTTAGAAAATATTCATTCATTCTGTGTGCTAGTCAATTTATTAATACTATTCTGTTATTTTGTTCTTTTTTCCCTTTTCAAACGATATAGACGACAACTTTAACGCCTGTTCATTTAAGAAAAGCGAAATTAATGTTCTTCTATACACGATATCCAAATTCAACATTAATTAAAATGTATTTTCCTGATGTGAAATTCTACAAAAATAATACAGCACAATTAGTTAAATGGTTTAGTAATTTTCGGTAAGTTAATAATCGATTATTTTCATCTCTATGAATGTGTATTCTAGATTATTATTGTTGTTATTATTATTAATGCTATTATAACCATTACTACATGGGCTCACCATTGAGGAGTGGTTAGGACTCTCGCCGACCATGCACATGGTCCGGGGTTCGATCCCCTGCCGGCGCACACCCGATATCTATGGTATGCCTGAATTTGGGCAACCGATATCCATGCTGAAAATTCCATACTTGTACTGAAAATACGGTGTGGAATCAAGCTGTAAATCAAAAATAAAAAATAAATAAAAATATGACGAAATTTATGTCCACCATTCCATAGTTTTCATAGCTTCACTGACTGATGTCAGTACGTCAGTCGGTCTACCTTGAATTCAATAAGGTCTCTACAACCCAAGTATTTCAGTTAATAACTATGATGACCATTATAGCAAATGTGTTCAGTGGACGTTTTCGGTAAACATCAATCAATAATTCTAGTTTAAAGTCTTCTGTTAAATAATATCAACTAAAATTCTTTAAAACCTTGTTTTTATTTCACTTTAAATCATTTACTAGAGAAGTTCAAAGAAGGTAGAATTTAGACACACGGATAAAACTCAAAACGATTTTTAAAACTGCTACAATACAAAATGTCTTTATTAAAAACAGATTCAAATGGGTCTAGATATTTAATCGACATGGCTAGACTACAGTCAGGCTTATTAGTTTACAGATTGTACTGGCTATCGGTTTTACTGAGTGATTACTGCTCACGAGAAGTGAAACTACTTGAGTAACTTCTTAATAATTCAAGTATAAATTACTAGTTATGGCTAATAGTGACACTATCTTAGATAGGCTTAGATTAGCGTAATACCAATGATGTAATGTGTGATTGCTGATGAGGAAATGGAAATCTGGATCTCGGCAGCATTAGAAGCATTGGCCTTTCGGATTACTAGCTCTGTGCTCAACTGCGGACGATACACGTGGTTAGCAGCAGACGCTGTATTTTACCGGTTGTGATACTTGGATCTAGGATGGTCATAACAGAAAAAAGAATATAAATCGAATGTAAGGAAGCAATTAACGAGTCCAGAATAATGTTTTTCTTCTTCTAAAATACTGTCTAATTGCAGTGGTTATTCAGCGTCACAGAATAAAGAAATGAAGACTTGTATTCATGAGTTGGTTACTGACTTTATTATTAACCTGTTGGAGAATCATTTTTACTAGTTAGATTTCTTTGTAGTGTGATGTTAATTTGACCAGATTAGCTACTTAGTAAATGCATGAACGATTTGATCTAGTTGGTAAAAATAAATAGCGAAGGAAATGCATAATTATATGCTAACCTGAAGATTCCGATTCTATGAATGTACTGTCTGCAAAGCAATAGATATGAGAAACGTATATAGGTGTAAAAACTTGCTCACTGTATAACACTGTGAGACTTTATCTAATAAAAATCTACTCTATGATGGAATTATACTCTACCAAAGTGCTCAGGTTTTATTCTTACATAAACGTTGCCAGTCACTTTGTCCGTTCGATCGCAACAGGTAAAGATTTGTAAAGCTTATATATCTCTCTGATATAGTAAAATTTATCTTATAGTACAATATTATTGTGTAAATAAATGAAGGTTACTCGAAATAAACAAAATCCGCATTTATCATAGATATATATAAAATTTTTATAAAAAAATAAAAAAATAAATGTTTCAGTCAACCCTAGAGAATACAGGACGATATCAATCATACAGAATATGCCTATTTCTTTTACTTTCTCATGGGAACAGCTAATCAACGTACAAAGAAAACACAGATAGAATATTTTAAAAAATAACAAGACAAGAAATTATATGAAACTAGGTCTACAATCTCATATCTTTCCCTCAATTAATCATTTATTCAGTGTGTCGTTTTTACCCTTCTTCTTTCTCGTCTTTCTTTCTTACCAGCTCATCATTCATTTGTCTTTCCTTTTCTATAAGATCTTAATTTGAGTTGAATTTTTCGGATGTTTTTTTATTATACAAAAATGGAGGATGAAATCTGCTGAAATCACTCGTTCTATTTATTCCTCTTACAGTTTTTCTATTCAGATATGCATAAGTATATTTTTTTGGTTTCTCTGTCTCGCTCGTTATATCCCTGAAAGTTGTATGAATAATTCAGAAATCAAAAACAAGCGACATTAATTACTACTTACAAACAATTTAATAAATCTATACATGTTAGATGCTTGCAGGCAGTCGGTAGAAAGCTCTGGACCTAGGTAGCTTTTGTGCTTTTCGGTCTCTTCAGCAATAGTTACTCATCGGTGATCGATCAGTGTATTCGTTACAGTCCTGTAGGAGGTCATTTGCAAGTTGAAATGGCTCAGAGCTGAAGTCTCTGTCTGCATTACAGCGTGAAGTGGGTTCGAATTTTCAAGGGGGCATTTTTCAGTTCCTTCAGCACTACTAACAAGTGCCAACAAGCACGAAACCTAGCTGGAGGGTATCCTGACGACTGAATGCACCTATCTAACATCATTTTAAAAAACACTGAGTTAGCGAATCACCTAAATTGATAACCAAATTGAAAACCTGAGTGATAGACTTCAGTCAGCACGAAAACTAGTGACCAGACACATAACGTTTCTTACACCCTAGTGACTGGTCAAAAAATTCATTCTTCTTAGAAGAGTAGTTTACGATGAAATAATATTTTAAAAAATTAATAAGCATTTAAGAATACTTTCTTATAACTGCCTGTTAATTTATTGAATGCAGGATTTCATCATGAGCTGACATCAGTTAATTTATTGGTATATGGGCAACTGGTTTTCAGCTTGTTCGAGTCCCGCTCCACTTAAAAAGTTTCCCTCTTATTTTTTATCTTTGTCATTATCTACTCTGTTGATTAGACATTTGTATGAGAAATATCCGGTTCATTACTCTATTACTGCATTGCACAAAAATTACTTTTATCCACAGTAAAGCAAGTAATTTGTTGATTTACCTTTGAGATAGACGGCATCATAAAGAATAACAAAGTAGCATTTGACCTTGATATTTAGATAGACTAAATAGTGTCTCATATTCAAAATGTATGTGTGCTTATGCAGTATCACTAAGTGAACTGAGGTACACAAAAACTATATTTACTTCCTTTTAGGAGATACTTCAGCCTAGATTTCACCCCAAACTGATATCATTCAGGGAAACAGTGAAAAACAATCAGCAGCAAACAGTGGCAACACTGGATAGTGTCCGTAGTCCAGTCGTAGAACACTAGCCAACCACACAAGCGGTCCGGGGTTCAATACCCGGCCGACGCATAACTCACCTCGCTTAGCCAGTAGTAAGCTCTGTAAGGAGGGAAGGTTAGGTGTGAAGCTAGCAATCCCATCTCGTAAAAAATACCACTGCCACTTAAACCCTAGCTTTAAGACTTATGTTCCACTGGGAACGGAAAGGAATAAAATAAAAAAGTGGACAGCTGCTTCATCCTGGTATGAGATTCTTCAGTAATGCATACCCATGATCTCGTCAGAAGTCGAATTCAAAATCCTCTAACTGCCAACCTAGAATATTTACCTGTGTCGGAATCTAACTGCTGCCAATTCGCAATAATCCTATTTAGTGACTGTGGTGACTATCTGTCCTCAACGACGAGCTAGTGAAGACTATCAGTTACGTCCTCTGGTGTTTATTAATGAATGATTAAGAAATGGAATGCCTTCAGTCCCACTGAGAAGTCGTGGCGGGTAGAGTCAATCATGCCAAGTGTGAGAACAGCTACTCACTGATGACACTGGTTGGCAGTAGCACTAAAACGAAACGACATTCTAGTGTTGTCTCGTTTTCATAGGTTCTCTAAACACTGTCTGTTAATGTCAGATAAAATTAATAAATTTTTTTCACCTGTCGACTTTAAAAGAATTCAGATGATTTCATGACAGAATTTTTCCATTAACTATGGATAGTTGCTTCATTCTAGTTTAAAACTCTTCGCAAGTAATAAGCTATACCTAAGCTACAAATTAAACTCACCAATAGTTGATAACCACTTATCAGATGAATTTCTGAAATTCTGATTGAAGATGCCGACCGAATGAGGAAGTTCGATACTTAAATATGAATCTAGGTAGTTATGGCGGTAGAAGTTGCAAACTGTGAACCACTAACAGTTCTGAGTAATATCATTTGTGAGGTTGTATGTAATTATTAGAGAATACTCCCTTAGTTTCCAATAGTCCATCTAAATAATTTTGATCAGAGATAAAGCAAACTTGTTAGACTAATTGTGTATTCCCTTTTAAACCTAATCATACTTCACAACAAGACAATATATAATCAGGATGTTCAAATGGTGGATAGCAGTAGGTGGGTTTAAAATTATGAAAAGTACTTCGTTAAATAACACAGTTTCAGTGTTTTCTCCTTGGAAAAAAATAAAGTGGATGAGGAACAAGCATTAAAAAGGATGAAGTACAGACTCTTTCTCACACACACACACACACACACGCAAACACATCGGTTAACTCTTGGAATGTCAAAGAAAGATACACCAGTGGAGCGGATTATGTCGTCTCCTTTTATTTGCTTTTTTTTAAAAAAGAAGTAGGCGAATATTATTTTGTCTAACCGACAATTTCCTCTGTCTCTACGACACACAGAGAAGTGTTCAGCATAAGGCTAAGGGAGGCAACAGTTAAAGTATACGCCTATACTTGTATTAAGTTTATAAGTTGTACGTATATTTCTGTGGTAAATTGGTATTTTCCAAAATGAAAATGAGAAAAAAAACCTCAAGTTATTTTTGTTTTTTAGCTGACATTTCACTACAGAATGCTAATAACTTTATCAAAGTAACAGAAAACCAGAATTTACAAAATCCCAGTTTATATTTGGTAAACGAAGCATAGTTCTCCTGTGTTATATAATTCTATATTGTCAAGTGAATTCTGGTTTATCATTACTTTGATAAGGGTATTAACATTACACAGTGGCATGTCAACAAAAA